AGCCTCCTCACACTCGACTTGATATCTTCCGCTACCGGCCAAGATTGACTGGAATAATGCATCCACATATTGCACATCTATTGAGGTGAATTATCCTGCAACATAAATGGAAAAAATACTTAGGTCACGAGTGAATGAGTTAAAGAATTGATCATTAATCGAATTATATATCTGTAGCACCACTCACCTATACAAATTCAACCTTCATCAGAGTGTGATATAATAGGTTATATATAATATGTAAGGATTATCATATAGTATTCAAACCCATTTACACTACACTAAACGTGGCTGATGCATCCCTATGATTAAATTAATTTTCCTATATACTATGAAATGATCTTTACATTTTTTTCACATCGAATTTCATGAGAGCTCTCGTCTTTGCACCCGCGAATAGAGGCTCACTCTGTCCCAAGTATGTTAAAGTGTAAAGACCGTTGGAAGAATTTATCTCATCAATATCGCTCTCCATAAATTTGTCAACAACTCTTTTTGGTAACCAAGTTTTCAAACTCACTTCGGTCTCTTCATCATATAAAATTACAGTACCACTCCTACCGAATCTGGTTCCGCATAATGAGATTTTCTTGATAATATAGCTTTTATTGAGGGGTAGTGATGATATCAAAATTTGCTTTACAATTTCATTCTCCTCATTAATTTTATCATTAATTGAAGCTAAATCGATTTTGGGGGCAGCCATTATTTTCGTCCAAGTGAAAGGGGTGTGAATAATATATGAATAAGCGTACTTACATAAAACAGATAACCTTTTATCACACTCAAACTTTCCCAACTTAATTGAGCAGAAGCAATGTTCAATGTTATTGCAAGAACTATGCTTGTGCATGTGGCGGATTTCGTATTTATAGAAACGCAAACAACCCCCACTATAGCGATGTGATGCGCGAAAGTGTCTTCAACTTCGAACACGCTTTCAAGGCCTCACTCTCTCTTCAACTCAATGTCACTCACTCTCAAGGTCGCACATGCGGAGGTTCACTCCCACCCAAGGTCGCTTCCGCCCAATGCCACTCTTGCCTCAAGGCAACTCTTGCCCCAAGGCAACTCTTGCCCCAAGGTCACTCCGCCCAAGGTCACTTCCTCCCAAGGCCACTCCTGTTCCAAGGTCACTTCCGTCCAAGGCCACTTCTGCATCAAGGTCACTCCTACTCAAGGTCACTACCGCCCAAGGTCACTCCTGCTCCAAGGTCACTCCGCCCAAGGTCACTCCCGCCCAAGGTCACTCCGCCCAAGGTCAGAGGAGAGTGACCTCGGGCGGAGAGTCAGAAACGGCTAATCTTATCTACTATCAACATATTATTATGTCCTAATCCTCTTTGGGTGTTGAAATCAGAAGCGTACAGATTTTTTTTAAATCAAAACATTCAATATCAGGCCTACGTGAACATCACTTGTAAGAGTAAAAAATTGATTCTCGTCCCAAAACAAAATGTGTTTCCACTAAAATTGGGTGCCTACTGAATTTTAACGAAATACCAATTATTTTTTAAGCGAAAACGGCACAGAAATGCTCCTCAATGATGAAACTGTGTGTACAAAATGTAATATAAATAGTAGCTTTAATTAGTTTTCATTTTCAGAAACTACTGAAAAAAAAGGCATTTATTGCTCGTATATCAAACACACAATTACAACTGTGGTACGACGAAGAATGGCTTCTGTTTCGTAAGCACAGAAATGTAAGCAGATAAATTCGATATCGATTAGACTCGCTCGGCTATTCTGCAACGAAGCAGTTTTTGAATTATCAGCTGCTGGCCAAACATAAATTTCTAAGAATGATAAGAAATTATGATGAAAACCTCTCTTTTTCTCAAAATTTTAACACCCTGTAGCAAAAACTAAGAGATTTAGGACACATGTTGATATGAACTTTTCTCCTCAAAATCACCCGTGGATGCATTCTTTGTATTATTGCCACTCAATGAATTCACACCCTGTATAGGAAATTACTTATTGCTCAATCGCTCGCAAAGGACCCCGCACTTTTAGTACGTAAAATCGTTCTCGGTGAAATTTTCTGAATTTTCAGTATGTTGTAGAATTCGATGAACTGATTGAACCTGCAGAATCGTAAAGTTCTTTGATGAACAGATTCTGAGATACAGGGCGTTGAAGTTACAAATCGGTATTTTTCATTTAATTATTTTCTCGAAATTCAAAGATGCCAAGTACAATTTTTTTCGCTCATGTCATCAACGAACCTCCATATTACATGTTATTGAATTTCTAATGTTCACCCTGTATATCCCAACTAGCATTTTCAGTCACAGGCACCATGGTTCAAGAAACTATTACCTATATTTAGTGATAATAACGTATTTATCACTTATTTCAGAACTTCATAGTATAAATGTCAGTGATAGTTATTTAGTGAGTGAAAATTACGTAGTTTTTACACTAGATAATAACTTCAAAGTGAGAAATTCTCATGGCTTATTACGAAGTAACTATTTCGAAACTGTCACTCCTCAAAACTACTCTTAAGGTTTCGGAACTTTGGATATATTATTACGGTAACGCTTACCACCCCAAGAAGGCTTCACAGTTGCAATTACTCTATGGTCACCAATTAGGTTTCTACGACGTTGTCGTTACTTGATCGATCACCTAATAATTTAGTCAATTCTTGGTGATATTTCAAGTAACATATTGGTAATTCCTACTCGAACAATTCCTTCATAGTTGAAACAACTTTTCGGTAATTATATTCAGTTGAAGTTACCAATACATAGGTTATCATAACTGACGAGTTCCAAAAGTAACTTTCTGATTCATTTTCGATTGGAAGCCATATTGATTGATGTGATAACCATTTGAACAGGAAATAATTTTGGTTTTTCTTGTTGATAAACATCATTTTATGAAGAATAATAGCATTCGTTCGATCACAAATTGCATAATAATGGAAATTAACATGATTTACGATGATTTTTGAAAAATAGCCGAATGAAATAAAACCATATTTTTGGTGAAATGAGCCGTATTTTGTGGGCGCATCTTGAATTTCGAGGCAAAATCATCACATTTATCGAAAAACTGAATGTTGTTCGAATTTTTCAAGTTCGAGTATCAATTATTTCGCGTGTTTGTCCTTGTATTATTTATTGAATGGTTAGGCATATTGGACTTGTTCATTTTTCGTGAATGTGAACTTCATGGATGAAATGAAGAATAATAAAGAGAGAAAATAATATTTTTATGAAGTGGAAAAGAAATAGAAAGTCAGGTAGGAAAATTTACTACATCTTTACGTAATTTCGACGTCGACGGGTCGTAAGCATTACGTAATTGTGTGAGTTCCCGCTACGTCGGCAAACCGTAATAATTACTCGTGATTTGTTCCCCATTTTGGTCGTAAATACGTAGTAACGACGTAATTATAACGTAACCGCAACTAGTAAATATTACTTAATAGTCGACCCAATAGTCGTAATTACGTAATCGCGACTATAAATGCTAGTTGGGATGAATACTAAACTTATTTTCGTCTCCACATTCTCACGTTTCACTATTTGTGAAAAATATCGGCCACTATGCGAATGTAAGTGAACAAGTCTCTTCGACTCTTCATGCAAATGGTAAGTTCCTGAATTAATAACTATGACACCCGTCATGATAGGAAACTGAATTTTCAAGACAGCGTTGAGGAGCGAATGATGAATATATTAAAAAATAATTAGGGAATTTCACCGAGTTATTCATGAATAACAGGGTGATTTCAAAAAATACGATTTTTCGTCATTTTCATCATCGAAATTCTTCATGATCACCCTATATATCTCAACGAAATCATGTTCACACGGTATCAGCTATCTTGGGAGGTTAACAATTCACTCGAATATACAGGATGTGTATGAATAAATCGGTCTTAGGTGTCACCAATTTTTCAAATCACCCTGTATGAAATGTATGAATTGTGATTCATGATGGAATGAGAATAGTATATTGCATATTGCATGCCTAAATTATTTTTTCGATATTTCATTATTACATCGAATTTTCAGACATCACTGAAATGTTTATATGTTTCACTCTGTAAACAATTACATTATCTGAACCATCTGAATTATGTTGAGTAATATGGAGGTTCGTTGATGATATGAGCGAAAAAAATTGTACTTGGCATCTTTGAATTTCGAGAAAATAATTAAATGAAAAATACCGATTTGTAACTTCAACGCCCTGTATCTCAGAATCTGTTCATCAAAGAAGTTAACGATTCTGCAGGTTCAATCAGTTCATCGAATTCTACAACATACTGAAAATTCAGAAAATTTCACCGAGAACCATTTTACGTACTAAAAGTGCGGGGTCCTTTTGCTTTCGCTCGGCTTCGCTAAACGCTTCCGCCTCGCAAATGCAAAATTCGCTTGTCAAACAAAGTGTCACTTTTGATCCTAATAAAACAATCTACTATTGCTTGTAGCAAGATTGACTGAACTCTCCGATATTTCTTATTATATCGTAAAGAATATCATTATTACTATTTAGATCTATGCTATTACTCATATAGACCAAGATTAGGTGAATTGTGGGTGAATCCCGATGCTTCAGCAGTGGGCTGTAAATAAAGTCTTTTGGTGATGTGATAAATATTCTTTACTACCAAGATGTTTATCAAATCTTTTCCACCATACTAATTTTTATTCTAATGAAAATTTAGTCGTCATCCTTTTTGAAATGAAAAACAATTCACATAATACATGTCATTTGATTTCAGTTTCAGACATTCATTTAATCAAGTCTGTCTGAAATTTTCCATATTCAATATTTAATTTCTTCTAATACCAGCTAGAGACTTGACAATTAAAAAGAAGTACGGCATGGTAGGTTCTACACTTGTTCTACCCTTGATTATATACACTAGTCAGTGGTGGAAAAAAATGTTATTGATTGAGCTGAGGTTTTACATTTCGAGGTCCATTATTTTGGAAAAAATAATTCTGAGGAATTTGAAGAAATTTTCTTACCAATTAATGGAGTATGTGTTCCCATGGCTGGTAACTTTTGGCTGAAGTACAACATGAAAAGGCAAATAATGAGCGCTGTGGTTGCATTCAAGATAATTTTCTCGCCAGCTTGTGGGGGCAACCAAAAGGCAGCCATTATTAGAGTAATGACAACTAGAAATAGAATATTCAATTTAATTAAATTCGAAAAACTCTAAGTCTATCACAATATCAATCCTCTCTTCCTATTCTGATTAGCGCTTATTATAGTGACTTTCTGAGACTTCGTTTAATTAGTGTTCATCGGCATCTTATAAATAGATATAGAGTTAATTTTATCAACGAAGTAATTGATAAATTTGCTCAAGACTCTATAAGAATGCCATTTTTGTTCGATCAAGATTATGATTGTCTGTGAACAGAATTCATTGGTGATGTCAATTCAATTTTTTTTTTCTACATTCATGCAAAAAGCAGAACTTTATTGAACTATATTTAGTGGAAAAAGAAGTTCTTTATTGCACTTAGTGCGATAACGTTTTTATTGCACTCATCTGTCATTCTACTTCAACGTGCTGTCATCATGACAAACATTTTTTATATTGCAACTGGGGTTATAGAAACGTCATATATTCATAATGAAAATTGCACCAATTGTTCATTCACTTTCAACATTGAGGGTAAAAATAAAGTTTGAGTTAAATTGTTTGTAACGTATTAGTTCCTGTTTCAATGCAAATCGATATTAATAATAAAGTATTCAAGTTGCGTTTTTCATTTTCCTACACCTAGTGCCGCACCTCAATAAATCATTTTTTGCTTTTTGCATGAACGTAGAAAAAATGTATGCAACTCGTGCACAAATAGTTTATTGCACTCGACGTGGCCGTTAGGCCGAGTTGGAAATAAACATTCACTTTTTGCACTTGTTGCATAAATAACTATTTTATTCCATGTTTTATGTAGAATAATACTTAGTAGAATATATATCAGGGGAGTAATGTGCATGATTTTTCCCGAGGTGGTTTAGTGACCAGAGGGTGCTACAATGCACTGAGGAAAGAAAGAACTCACTTCCAAGGTTTATATACTATTTTTTGCACGACTAGACGATTTTAATTGAAAGAATCTTACGAACAAACCTAAAGTCTCACTATATCGATTGCTGTCAATTGTCCATCCATATTGATCATTGAGTTATGAGACATAGACAATTTCATCATTAGATCCATACGAAAAACGAAAAAATCGTTCCACATGTTGTTTGTTATGTCATTTGAGTGTTAATTTTTCGGTGGTAAAGTTTTTTCTGAGATTTTACTCACCAAATGCTGGAGTAACAATGATGGCTTTGTAGGAAGGAGATATCCTAGACATAGTAACATTGATTGTTATATCAGGATAAGGTTCTGTGCAACATGGATAAAAAACATCTTGTTTTTTCTGAAATGCCTTTGTAATTAACCACTCCGTGTTGTTTATTACCAGTTCCACCTGAAAAAATGGAAAATAAGCGTATACAGAGTGATAGAGTAGGTACAATTTTTTAAGGATCAAATTTTGATCCTTAACCTCTGTTTCAGTTATGTTCAGTATTTAGTTCTTGTCAGAATAAGTTTCCAACATTACATCAATGTATTTCTTTATATATACAGTGTGATTCAGGGTTTAAGGCACAAACTAGAATGGAAGATAGATCTCATCATTTTAATAAAAAAAGTTTTTATAAACAATAGTCCGATCTCGTTCAGTAGCGGAGCTACAGGTTGTCAAAGTTTGATGATTTTTTTCTATTAATTGAAAAATCTCGCTTACTTTTCAGGATATCATTTCAAAATTTGATGTGGTCAATACTTCCTAGAATATCATCATTTCAAGCTATTTAAATATTTTCAAAATCTACAGGGTAATATGTTTTTGGGGGTAGAGGCTTCCTAATCCCCACCAAACTTTTTCGTAGTACGCCTCTGGTTTCTTTCAGTAATCAAATTATGTGGATCGTTCAATTTAGAGGCTTTTTTGCTCATCAATTTTTTTCGAGAAACGAACCGTTCTTGAGATAAGCATATATACGTTCTAAAACATGTTAATTTTGACAATGTTTCGCTTAAATTTTATTTAACTGGAACAAAATCTTAAATTTCTACCATCCATATCCATGTTACTGATCCAGATTTGACTCGTGATTGCAATTTTAGTTGGTGCATTTCATTGCATTTTCAACGAATTTTGTCAAAGAATAAAATTTAAGCGGAACGTATATGCTTATTTATCTCAAAAATTGTTCTTTTCTAAGAAATTGAAGAGCCTCTAAATTGAACGATCCACACAATTTGATCACTGAAAGATTTCTAGGAACAAGTATTGACCATATCGATTCTCAAAATGATATCTTAGAAAATAAGCGAGATATTTCAATTAATAGAAATAATCAAACTTTGATTCCCTGTAGCTCCGCTACTGAACGATATCGGACTAATGTTTGTATAAACTTTTTTGATTGAAATGATGATCTATCTCCCATTTCAGTTTGTGACTAAAAATCTGAATCACCCTGTATATATATATATATATTTTTTGGTGTTCATAAATACAGTGTGTCCCACTTACCATGCTCACCATGGGTATCTTTTTAACGGTGAGAGATACGAGGTCGGTTAAATGACACCAAATGTGGAGTTTGTCAAGGCCAACTATAATGTGAAACATTATTTTGATAAAAACTATTCGTTTTTGTTTTATACCCAAAAAACAGATTGTGATCATTTTCATGTCTCCTCCGTAACTTCTTTATTTATGAAAATATTTAAATAATAGAAATTTCACATTCTCATGGCAGTTTTTAAAAGTGATTCCGAAAAAAATATGAAATTTATACCAACTCTTCTGGAATTTGAGATATCAGCACGACTTAGTAACAAATAACTTTTTTTTCTCTTACAGATGATATGTCGCAGTAATAGTTTTGTGTTGACAACGGAATTATCGTCATTTATACAAAAACAAAAAATTATTTGGAAGCCGCCATCTTGAATTTATAAATTACAAAAAAATTATGATCCTCGGCCTCAAAAACCCCCACTTACCAATTTTGAATGAAATCGGACCAAATCTTTTCCGCCATCTTGGAGCAGCCATTTTTTTTTCAATTTCAACAAAAATTCCATAACTCCGATTAACTTGAAATTTGGCAGGTGTTCATAATTTCGATGACAATACATTATGGAATTTTTGTTGAAATTGAAAAAAATGGCTGCTCCAAGATGACGGACAAGATTTGGTCCGATTCCATTCAAAATTGGTAAATGAGGGTTTTTGAGGTCGGAGATCATGATTTTTTGTTAATATTCATAAATTCAAGATTTTGTATAAATGACGATAACTCCGTTGTTATCAACACAAAACTATTACTGCGACATATCATCTGTAAGAGGAAAAAAAGTTATTTGTAACTTAGTCATAGTGAGCTGTGACCTACATTTGAAAATCTAAAGTTGGTGCTGATATCTCAAATTCCAGAAGAGTTGGTATAAATTTCAATTATTTTTCGAAATCACTTTGAAAAACCGCCATGAAAATGTGAAATTCTTATTAGAATATTTTCATAAATGAAGAAGTTACGGAGGAGACATGAAAATGATCAAAATCTGTTTTTTGCGCATAAAACAAAAACGAATAGATTTTATCAAAATATTTTTTCACATTATAGTTGGCCTATACTAACTCCACATTTGGTGTCATTTAACCGACCTCGTATCTCTCACCGTTAAAAAGATACCCATGGTGAGCATGGTAAGTGGGACACACTGATGTATATCTGAGAATATTCCTTTTCAATACTTTCACCCAATCAAGGGGTTCAAACTTGAACGATGGAAACTTGATATTTTTATAGACCTCAATCGCAGATTCGTGATTAGGTTTTCTCAATTCAGAATTTTTTTTCCACGTCCTGTATGATGAATATCAATTTATCATACATTCATCATCAATGTTTTTTCGAAATTTCAAAGAAAAAATATCCTCATCAGTTTCACTTATTTCTGATCATTCTGATCTCATACATATCCAAAAACAAATATCCTCTAGCTATTCTGAAAATGGGAAAAACTGCCAAAATCAAGCTATTTGGGACACCCTGTATACATAGGTACTCACGTCGACATCGGTTTTGTTGTTATAATTATTTAGGTCTATCTGGTCTCCGCTGTAGGTCCATGAGCCGAACTTCAAGTAGCATTCCTGGTCATCGAAGGGCCAATATTTCAAATTCAGGCTACAGAGTACCGTAAATTGCGCGGGCGGTACCCACAGTACTTCACCGTCCGAATAAAGGAGGCAGTGGGTGTTTCCATAGTGGTTGATAGCTGTTGAGGTAGCACTAAAAGCATATATATAGGTACAAGGTGTTTCCTAACCTTTTTGACAAAATTGAAATAGCGAATTCTCGCTTTTTTTATGGGGTATAGTTTTCAAATCTGCCAGCTGCATTTATAAATAAACTAAAATATTTCATTAAATGACAAAACTCAAGAAAAACAACATTTTTCTCAGGTTATTGATAAGAAGTAACACACTCCGAGAAAAGTCCAGTTATACATGTCTCTATTTAAAAACTTCTTATAACCGCCAAATGAAACATTTTAACCACGAAATGTCATCTGATGAACGTGAAAAGTTCACGTTTTCAACGTGAAACAGGTCACCTTTTCAAATCACTCTTTTTGTTTCAAAAAGGTTATCTTTTAGATTCGAAATGAGACAAGATTATAGTTAAAAGATGGAAATTTGAAGATAATCATTTAAATCCTAGAAGATGTCATTTCACAGTTATACAATTATCATTTAATTTCATCCCTTCTATCATTTTCCATCTTTGTCATACTCGTTTACCTCAATGAGTCATCTCACTCACCTATGAACACTTGTTTGGTGAGAATCGTTAGTCGTCTCCGGATTCCTGATAGGAAAGGACATATTAGCTCTCGGCAGCTCGTGAACTCTTTTTGCAGAGTGATATTTTTTTTTTCGAAAAAGTGAAGTGGTTGAGAGATCTTCTGGAAATATAAGGGACATATTTGTTCATATATCCTCCAAGATTTGTTGAGGAACTACAGAATGTTGAACTGCCTCTGGGCGTTATAGTGTTTTCACGATATATCGGTAAGTGTATGCATCGGAATGTCTTCCAAATTGGAAAAACTTTTATTTTTTCAACTCACCTCACTATTCACTAAGTGGCAAAAGCTTGGATTTGAACAGTTTTATCGGTGATAGATTGTATTGCGTATACATTGTATCCAAGATTAATGATTACTATCATGGGGATCTCGAAAACGTCGTAAGAAAAGTCTCTCAACGCTCTTTTGTAAAGCTCAAGTGGCAATAACGGTAAATAAAATGAAACGAAATCTGCGAATGTGAACTCTAATTTACTGACGATACTGTGTAATTACATTTTTGGCCACTATGTTAACTAATAATCCAATGCACTGACAATGAGAACAAATTGTCCAAATTGGAAGCATTTTTGTCCTACACAAACTGAGATATTGTAAACTGAGTATATCGTCCTTGTGATGCACTTCAATGCCCTGTAGTTCCTCAAAAAAACTTTACTTGGGGGTAAGTATATAAACCAAGTATATATGTCTTCAATATTTCTCGAAGAGTTTCAACCCACTTCATTTTTCTGGAGAAAAATTAATCATCCTAATACTGAAATACCATGCAATCATTTGACTATGAAATTGAAAGCAAATTATATTGATATGAGTATTATTTCATTTTTATAATATCACTATTCAATATTGAAATGCTTTTTATTTGACTATCAAATTGAAAACAAGTCAAATTTATATGAGTATCTTCTCATTTTTATAATATCATCGTATAGCATTGAAATGCTAGTCATTTGACCCCTATATGAGTGTCATTTCATTCTCATATAAGTGATATTTCACAGTTATATGATTTTTTTGAAATGATGAACGTGATTACAGTGAAATGGGAACTATGCTGGCGCCTTCTCAATTCAGAAATCTTTTAATGGTTATGCAATTACGTATAACAGCTAATAGATATATCTCTCGGTGCATACCATGAAATTATTTCTGGGGAAAGGTGCATCCACGTGGATATAATTTGTAGAAGAAAAAATCACAAATGTGATTGATTCTTTTTATAGAAATGAAAAAAGTTTAGAACTTTTATATCATCAACAATTGGATAACCTGATAACCACATACAAGGTGTTATTGAAATATATGATATCAGATTGTTTTCTGATTCTTCTAATTTACGAAAAATTTCATCCCAAAAATTGAACAAAATACCATAAAAAAATCAAGTACGCCACTATAAAACAATTTAAATGATTGAACTCCTCGTGATTGTGCATACCGCATGGAAATTTGAACAGAGGTGACGTCAGATTTGCTACAGTGTAGAACTTTGGGTGGAAAAAGGGGTCTAACCTAAAATTTTATTCAAAAATATCTATTTAGGTAGTCGGTATAAGATGAGCTACTCCAATTGACTAGAAAAAAACCGTACCTGTTATACAAGTAAACATCAGGCTGCCAAATTTCATGTTCTGCCAAATTGAGTAGGGTCAAATTCCCATAATCTTCGGGATCCCATTTCAATTTTTCGTCAGTCCACACCTGTTTAAAAAATTGTCTCAATGATTTGAACAATTTCATCTACTATACAGTGAGATTCAAAATTCTTAAAATATTAGAGTAACATTATTTTAATAAAACTGCAACTTTTGAATCCAGCTTTCACGTATCCCTCTATGTATATTTAATTTTCGTTTATGAATGTTGGGAATTGAGATTCCTCAGTTCGGCTGTTAATTAACTTATCCAGTATACTTTGAAGGCGCACTGTATCAAACAGTAACGTTTTGAGGAATAATAATAATTAATGGTAGATACCTATAGTTCCCATGTTCTTATGTTTTATGTTGACTCAAATTCCAATCATAATCAATACTTAGTGAATTAATAGTATATTGTTTAACCAGTACGGAATAATGAGAAATCATACGAGTGGAAATTATCGTTCCGTGCGAGTTATACACTATACTTTTTCTACGGCTATAGCAGATAACAGCGAAATCTTCGATTTCTTCGGCTTGTATAGCCATCTAATTTTCTCTAAAATAATGCTCATTTATTAGACAGAGCTGTCATTGCTTGAAATCTGACATATCATGGCAGATGAGATTTTGTGAAATGATAACACGATGAAGTCATTGTGATATCAGATACGGAAATGAAATTGCAACACTAAAATGAGTGCGGAAAAGAGGAATTTGGGTTTTTTCCGCACGCCAGTAGGAAAGATAGTGTACCTCTAGCACGCGTGTAAAGTGACTTTTCGTCGACCTCTACAAAAAATAACATTTTAGGTTCTAATTTCCGAACGGAAAACCGACTGTTTCCGAAGGAAAGTACTTTTCGCCCGCAGACCACAATTTTTCTTCCACAATTATATATGCCCTTTTCAGATTTGGCTGTAACAAGTCCAACAGCACCTGTCTCCCTTCGCAAGTGTGTTTTTTCCCACAACATACCAACTGTTCTTGGAATCATAATAAAGATCTGTAACCTTACGAGCATTTTTCTAGTCCTTCGAACCACACAAACACACAAACCCCTGAGATTCAATTGGAGATTCATCACAGCTCTTATTGCAGCGGTGATTTTAGAGCGCTTACACCTTACAATCGCGACATGTTTTCTGAAGTCGAGTGTACATAAATAACTATTTTCTACATGCGTGCGTGATTCACCCTATAGGTACCCGCACGCAAATTAGTTTGGGAAGTGTCATTTTCCCGCAGTAGTGCAGGAAAATCATTTATATAATATTCTCGCAAAACATGAATACACAATATGAAAATTTTATATTCCTTTGTTGCAGTATTTTTAGTAAGTTTTCCAAAATCATCCATCAAATTGCACTATTTATTAGGAAAATGAAGAAATAATGAAAAATAATAATTGATTGTTATATAAATCTCCCTATAGCCTTTAATTGATCTGATGTGGGAAACAATTGTTGTCATGTCAGTCAAAACACAAATTAGTTATAGGCTATATTCCGAATTCAACTGAGAGTACTGAATCTGCTGATTTTTTATTGTTTATTCCGAAATCAAAATATTCACTGAAAATGACAGATGCTTGTGAGCAGACATACTTCTAAATATTTCGAGTCAACATTCTGCTGAAATTGCTGAGTATCAAAAGGTAGTGTGGCTTCAGTGAACTGTCATTATTTTAGAGGGGGAAGGAATGTAACATTTATTTCCGTTGTTAATATTATAATTTTCAATATCAGAAAATACCTGTTATAGAAATGATAAACGCTGAGAATAATAGGGAGTATAAAGAAGTAGAGGACTAGAGGTAACGAAAAAAGAAGCAGCATTGGCTATGAATCAATAGCTAAATGGACCTGAAATGTATTCTAAAATTTAAAAAAATTTTCATCACTCGAGCTTGAATCGTCATCGTCAACAATCGTAGAAACTATGGAGGCTACAAGAATCGATTGCTCTTCCATGTTGGATATGAAATTTCCTAAATTTATATCAAGCAGGGGGCTAAATATGTAGTTCAGATAAACGAGAAACTACAGACTTACAAATTTCACCAGCTGATCAACTGCTGCTGACTACTGATGAAAATCATGAAAACGTGTTCCGAATTACAGCACTGTATTTTTGATTTTATATTTCGGAACACAGATTTTCAGCAGAGTCAGGCTATATTCCGAATTCAACTGACAGTACTGAATCTGCTGAATTTTCATTCCGAAATCAAAAGAATTGACTGAAAGTGACAGATACTCGTGAGCAGATATACTATTCATTCCAAATATTTCGACTCAACATTCTGCTGAAATTGCTGACTTTCATAAGGTAGTGTGACTTCAGTGAACTGTCATTATTTTTGAGGGGAAAGGAATGACACATTCATTTCCGTTGTTTCTCAAACATTAAGTCTTGGCTTATCAATAATACATTACTAATATCATTTTGATATCAGGAAATGCCTGTTGTTCATTTAGCTCAAGCAGGAGCATCTGCCAGATCAATGACAACTGACGAATTTCACCAGCTGATCAACTGCTGCTGATTACTGATGAAAATGTGTTCCGAATTACAGCACTGTATTTTTGATTTTATATTTCGGAACACAGTTTTTCAGCAGAGTCAGTGGATCTACTGACAGTACTGACCAGTTGAATTCGGAATATAGCCTCAGTGGATCTACTGACTACTGACCAGCTGAATTCGGAATATAGCCATAGTGTAATTCTCAGAGTGACAGACACAGCGTTACTGTAGAGACATCGTGCTATAGAGATGTATAGAAATTTAACTTCGATTCTGTGGAATTGAGATGATAAGAACTTATTACCAACGGAGTCTTAAGAAAGGTATGAGAAGCACTACACGGGATTTATTGAATGGTGCAATAGTAAAAAAGTGGAAACACCATATTAAGAAGAAGTATTTTTGGCTCATTTCCTAGAAATGTCTGAAACCTAGAAGCCAAACACAATGGGCATCCTGGCTTCCGCAATAAGCTTACCTACATAATGCCTCAAACGATACACACAATAGTTATAATAATAATAATAATGATAATAGGTCTAGGCGAAAGTTTAGTATAGAACACTTAACACTTTAACCTAATTATTAGAAGAATATATCACTATTGTTAGTTGTTCCTATTTGCAGGAATGATTGATTGAACAAATCAATCAATTTCCTACGCTTGTAGAACTCATGCGGAAAGTGTCTTTTCCGCACTCGACTGCTTGCCCGAACTCCGCTTCGCGTCGTTCGGGTCAACGGCATTCGCGTGCGGGGAAGTATCACTTTCCGCACTTGTTAGGAAAATTACTATTTTGTGCTATGGCACAATAACAAAGTTAAAGAGACACTTTTAGGGCTCACTCTGTGAATCTCTTGATAAGGGTCGCGAATAAAGAAAAACTCACCAATCTGAGCCAACAGTGTACCGTCAGGGTGGATTTGAATTCGTTCATGTCGATATGTCTGATGCTCATCCCGAACTGGACCGTCGTTTTATTGTAGTGTTGAGCGGGTCTGGAAAACTTGTCATAGTTCAATAAAAGGTCGTGCCTCAACTTGTCAGTGTACGTGGAATTCCAGATTGGCTGCGGACCTATTTCTGTAACATATTCATGAGTATGGAGTTAGTAACAAAACCTACACAGAGCAATACGTTGGAACGTTGCCGAAAACTCGACTTTTTGAATGGCAACTTCTATTTTTTCTCAACAATTCATGAAATTGAATTTGAGGATGAGTTTCTTGAGTAGGTACTTATTTCCATAAACCTAACTAAAACCATCATCGAGTGTTTTTTCAGTGTAGGTCGAAGTGATGTGTAGTAATCTCGAGCACCTCGTTGAAAAAATCATTTCTCGATCGCCAAAGTTCAGCATTTCGTGCACTATATACAGGGTGGACCAATAGTGTGACGAAATGAGATAACGGCTTCACTATATTATCATTATAAACATTTTTGAGATGGTCTAGGCTCATGAGCAGCACATATCTCAACTTCCGATTTACTAACTACTGACATCTAATTTGAATTGATACAGGGTGGTTCATACTTCTGAATTATGAACCATCCCCTGTATTCGTTCAAATTTGATGTCAGTATTAGATAGTAAATCAAAAGTTTAGATAGGGACATGTAAGCCGTTTTGATCTGTAGTCATTCTCCTCGAACCTAAAGTGCGATAGATTGGTTAAATCAGCTCACAAGGGAGAATCTGAAAATGATATAAAATACATAGGGTGTCCTATATTATTATAAGAAAGTATAACTTTGACACCGCACGCATTTCTGAGTCATCTTGTATGAAGCAAAATATTTTTCAAATGTGCTACTCATGGGCATAGACTATGTCAAAAATTTTAATCTATCTCAAACAGCGAAACCGTTATGTCGCCCCTGTATAGATACAAAAACTATTCATAGTATACAGGGTATGTCACGACGAGCTTATACTATCTTTATATCGAGAATCAGTCGGGAGAAATCTAGTCCAGTCATTATATCCAAATAACGGACCTTACCCGTGAATAATTTTTTAGTGTTTTTTTTTTCCATAGGTGTCTCGGGGGGGTTACTGGGAGTGTAAATTCAAAATGGCGACCAAATCAAGCTTTTGCGTATGTTTTTTTTTGTTAAAAAACGGTTTTTCTTGAATAACTCGGCCATTTTTGATTCTACAGAAAAAGTTTGGGAACAAAAATTGTAGTAAATTTGGTTCTCTACAAGTTTGGTCCCTACAATTTTTCTGATAGGATCGATATTTTGTAAATTAAACCTGAAAAAAGCGACAAATTCGAAATATTTTCATTATCTCGTTTATTCTCAACTTTACACCATAAATGAAAAGAAACAAACTTGTAGAGAATCAAATTTTGGACAAATTTGGTCTCTACCTGTTTTTCCGAAAATCGATATTTTCGGAATTTAACCAGAAAATATGTACCCACTGAAATGTTCTGTCTTATGCCACAACTGCGCTGGGCAGACTTGCGATAACGTCACACAATTGCGAGCCGTCGATGACAAAGACAGTGATGATGACAACGACATCGACGATCCCGCACCATTAACACTGAACCTTAACGAACGTGAAACTGGACATTACCAATTGACCGAAGAAGAAAGAGAGGATATGGATTTGGCAGGACCATCAGCTAAGAAACCCAAAAAAAAATAGTTCCGGAACCATATTTTCACACCGACATGACAGACAAGCTACCTGCGCAGAATAACCTCTTCATGCCGTAAAATGCCGTAAAATGCGAAGCATTGGAGATAATGATCTTTTGAATTTGTCGCTTTTTCAGGTTTAATTCCCAAAATATCGATGTCTGGAACAAAAACGTAGTAACCAAAATTGTTTAGAATTTGATTCTCCACAAGTTTAGTCCTCTTCATTTATGCCGTAAAGTTCAAAATAAACGAGATAATGAAAATATTTCGAATTTGTCGCTTTTTTCGGGTTTAATTCACAAAATATCGATCCTATCAGAAAAATTGTGGGGACCAAACTTGTAGAGAAACAAATTTACTACAATTTTTGTCCCCAAACTTTTTCTGTAGAATCAAAAATGGCCGAGTTATTCAAGAAAAACCGTTTTTTAACAAAAAAAAAAAACATACGCAAAAGCTTGATTTGGTCGCCATTCTGAATTTACACTCCCAGTGACCCCCCCGAGACACCTATGAGAAAAAAAACCACTAAAAAATTATTCTCGGGTTAAAGTCTATAATGACTGGACTAATCCATGGAAATGTGCAAGCTTATATTTCAGGATACGCTCTCTTCATTACAAATATAGTAGCAACATCAGTATCCCAAATGGAACACCCTGTATTTTATCGTATTTTAAGATTCTACCTGAAAGCTGATTTGATCGATGTATCACACTTGGGGTCTATCGAAAATGAGAGATATATAGGGTGTTCAAAATCGAAATTTTTCAACTTTCAAGATTTTTTTGTGTCGAAACTATTCATTATCGAAACGGCTCACATGTCCCTATCTCAACTTTTGATTCACTATTTACTAATATTTAATCGGAACAGATACAGGGTGGTTCAAGATTCAGAATTCAGATCACCCTGTATCTGTTCAGATTAATTATCAGTAAATAGTAACTCAAAAGTTGAGATAGGGACATGTGAGCCGATTAAGCCGATAATGAATAGTTTGGACCGACAAAAAAATCCTTAAGTTGAAAAATATCTCGATTTTGAACACTCTTTATCTCTGTAATCATTTCCGATAGACCCCAAGTATGAAGTACCGATGAAATCAGCTCTTCAGGGAGAATCTAAAAATGCAATGAAATACAGGGTATTCTACATGAAATAACAAAGTTGTTGCTACTTTTTTGTAGAAGCGGCAACACTGCATTGTTGAAATTATTTTAAATGAAGGGAGCGTATTCTAAAATATATAAGCATGCATATTTTCATGTATTTCTCCCGACTAATTCTCGATATAGAGATAGTGTAAGCTCGTCGTGACATATACCCTGTATAAGGTCTTTCAATCGCGAGATTTTTCAATAGAGCCAGTGTTTAAAAGACCAGTTATCCGCCACGAATACTTTACCCTATTTTTTTTATTGGTACACTCTATTGAGACCATGAGGTCATATACGAAGTGTTTTTGAAATAAGTACTTATATATTCAGCACACCGATATGACAGTCCGAGTGACAGCCTAACGAATATTCCCATAATATCTGGGTTTTTTAAATTCTTTCAATAAACGAGAAATTTCATAACGAAAATTGAACAAAAAACGTGAAAAAATCGAGTACGTCACTTTGAAAGAATTCAAATGATTGAAATCTGCATGATTGTACCTTCCTCACGAAAATTTGAACAGAGGTGACGTCAGAATTTAACAGTGTAGAACTTTAGGTGGAAAAAAGGGTCTCACCCCAAATTTTATTTTGATCCCTATATTTTTGTTAATGGTGCCATTCGATAGTATACGTCGAGCTATGTCAGGGTTTGGAATATTTGCACTTATTTCAATACCGTAATAACTTCATTCGATTCATGATTTTGAAAGTTGGATTTAAACACCCTGATGCGTTCTTTAAATAAGCATAGTAGAGGCATAGATCTAAATACACACTAGTGACTAGATACATTAGATCTATGATAGAGGGTACCGTACTCCCAAATATTACATAATAATATTTAGAAGTCTGCTCTTCCATCTAACCCAGAGAAAAAAAATTGTGAGAGTTAGTACTTACAGTGGTCCAAAGAACAAACTCAGTAGATACATTTATATAAAGATGCATGTGGTTTCAAGAGAAGGAACATTTTATGTGATACTTGATAAAATAGTTGAATGTTGAAGAATACTTGATGTTAATTAATCAGTGTTTCGGTTAATTTAGCCTTAAATACTTTTGTACTTTTTATATTCCTGTGTGAAACTGATAAATTGTTTATACATTTTGCTATGCTGTATGAAAACGAGCGCTTGAACTGTTCAGAGTTGTGAAGAGGACGATGAGAGTACCTTTGAAACGTATATTCAAGGTATGAACATCAGATCGATAGCGGATTTTTGCAAATAAATATCTTGGACTTTTGTGTATTAAGATAGACTGATATAAACAAGCAGCATGTTAGCATGTAGGCGTTGATTGATATATTAAAGCGTAATATATCAATCAACGATGTAGGTGTACCGCCTTTTTTCCATGTCAAACCAGTTAATTTCTTATGTATATGTACTGACATATCAGTATGACTGATATGTCAGTACTTTCGAAATCTAAAAATTAGCCTAAGGCAGCTGTTCTGTAGCTTTTGAATACGCATTTTGTCAGTGCTTCTCGAACTAGAATTGAATACAACATCACAGAAATTTAGGGAAGATAGTACTAAGCTTTCACATAGTAGTATTTGTGTATTTTTGTTTAGATACATTCTATTTCGATAAATAGTTTTCAAAGAGAAATATGCTTATTGTAGTTTTTTTGGAATATGCTGAGTGAATCTTAGAGATCTTCGTCTATGAGAAGACCAAGATTCTTTACACACTTATGTTTAGGAACAATTTCATTGTTAATTAAAATTTTGAAATTATTTTTCTGACTCAATGCAAATCCATCCTTAGCCCTACCAAAAATTATCAAAACAGTCTTATTAGGATGTAATTTCAAACAGTGGTTCTTTGACATATCAAGTAATAGTTGATAGCTGCAGCTGCCTGAGGAGCTTCATCTGTGAAAAAAGACAGATACATCTGCGTGTCATCTGCGTAGAAATGGCGTGAACAAGAAAGAAAAGTCGAGAAATTGGAAGTATACAATGAAAACCGTAAAGGTCCTAGGATGTAACCTTGCGGTACCCCTGTTGATATAATTCAATATTCTGTGCTATTAGCCATGAAAGTATAGTTGCTTCCTGTTAGACATATCAACAATGATTTTCTTATTTCTCAAAGAAAAATAACTGTGCCGTATGAGTATAATGCACGTTTATAAAAAAAACCTGCTTACTTGTGGTGGTGAATCCTGACTCAACAGTCCCAAATCCTAACCCGATCGCAATCACTACAAATAGAACATCCCATCTTCTCATATTGGGAATTGTTATGCGAGAGTAGGTATGATGCAGAACTGGACCGAACACGAAGTCCGTAGACGACTCCTGCATCTCTGATGCTCTGAATGTCATTTGATTCGATAAGTGCAGAGATTAAAATTGTTTCCTGTTTGGACACTTTATCACGTATCACCCACTGTATGGCGAGGCCGGTCTAGATCTATTATAATTTTCAGGATGAGAAGGAAGAATGAAATCTTCTATACAAATTTTATAGTTATTTATGTACCAAGTGAGTTACATAGATCCTTACACCCGGAGGGTAACGTTCACAATGAATGCTGCCCGATGGGCTCGTGGTGCATACAAGATTTCATTTTTAACGAAAAAATGATCTTATCATAATGAAAAATCGATTTTGAAAAGCGTTTCATTGCTCCTAGCATTTTCTTTCCATTCTTCTCATGGTAGACATGGAGGCATGGCATTCGTTGATATTTTGACGTTTGTTGAATATTGCTGTCATCATTAAATTAAGTGAATGTCATTGCTGCCTTCCCTGTGTATTGTTATAGAATAGTACATTATACATCAAGGGCCAGAAATGCAAGATTTTTTCCAAGGTGCGATTTGTAGCTCGAGGGTGTATATACTATTTTTTACGCTAGCGAAAACACAAAAATTAATAAAGAATAAAAATTTGGTCAAAGTGTTTTGTCATTATTCGCGATAGAAAATAACACGTCGCCCTACCTGACGGCAACAACTTGAACACTTCTGAGCGGTTTGTTTTGATGATGTGACCAATAAGCACAAACAAAAAACAAATGTGAACCAATGAAAACAAAGTTAACAGGCCGCTTTGACAGCTTTCAGAACTCCGATAGGTGGCGTACGTTTATATTCTATCGCGAATTAGTAGTAGTATAGTTTGTGAAATTCGTATCTTGACAACATGGTGACAGCATATATCAAACTGAAATTTTTGAAAACAGCTCTGAAAATGGTTAACGGTTATGGAACAAGAAATCGAGGGTAAACCCCAAGAAACTATTGATACTGCTTCTGCAGTGATTCTCAACTTGCTACCAGTAAGATCTAGAAATCTGTATGATGCAGCTTATACTCGCTTCAGGGAAGGGTGTTCCGAAAAGAAAGCGCAGAGCTAGGCGTAAAATGTAAAGTTGGTTTAAACTTCCTAGGGAGAAAATATGTCACATTATCTCCCTAGGGAATAATACGAGACATCTGCCCCTCTTTTGTTACCAGAGAAACTAACTCCTACTCCCGCCGTCGTAAAAATAATATCATAATAAATGCAGACAAGGCTTCGATTAATTTTTTGCCGGAGAAATCCAGACTCGCACATATAAGACAAGGATTATTATGGAGTATTTAATCACTGGAAGTTGAAAAATGAAGTGATTGCCATAGATGAGACCTTAAAAAGTGGTTATCGATGTGGAGCAAAAACCATTGTATTGAGAAGGGATCACACATCAATCTAAAACATGATGAAGCTTAGTTCAACCACTCACCTTTGCCACAGGGAGCTAATAATAATAAGTTAAGGGTGAAAGAGCAACTTTTGTATTTCACCGTATAAAGATTAAGCCGTCAGGCTTCTCTTAGATACTAATATTCAGGCCAACATTCTGAAGAATGAATATACGAGTAAGTCGAAATTTCACAAAAATCGGACAATAATCAAAAAAGTTACAGGGAGAACAACTTGGTATTTTGATGGGAAGCATCAAAATGATGACATAACAGAATAGTTATTTTCCTAACAAATGCGGAGTGATTCTTTCCCGCACGCGAACGAACGACGCGAAGCGGAGTTCGGGCAAGCAGTCGGGTGCGGGGAAGACACTATTCTGTTATGTCACTCACCGGAAAAAAAACGGCCACCAAAGAATGTAACCAAGTTGATTCCTTGATTTTTCTTCTCATTATACAGGTGAAACGAAAAGACCTCTCTCAGTAAGGACTATAAAGAACACAAGTACAATATCAAGAAAAGACATATCGATAAATATCGAAGCTAACTGAACATATCCTTACTGAAGATGGACAACATATGGCAGAGTGAAATAATATCAAACTCATATGAAAGGAAGATAACCAACAAAGAAAAATTAAGGAATCCGCTTGCATTCTTCTGAACGGAGACAATAGCATTGCTTCCTGTTCAGTTGATATAGATAGAACATGGTATTCACTACTGAAAACTGAACATGAAAATGGTAGATTCAAGATCAATTAATGGAAACATCCTGTAACTCATTTGTAGACTAAAATCATTCATTCATATGCCAACATCAGTATGACATTGAGAAGTGTCAAACTATAAGCAGAGCACAACTGCCAAAGAAAAATATTTTGCATTTTCATGTTGAGAACGGGAGCAGATTCGTTCTCGAAACGTCCTTCAAACATTTTTTCAAATAAATTAAGTGTCACTGACAAGCTGCTTACTGGATTTTTATTTTTGGCTCCCTGATAAAAAAATTTGTTAAACGCAGTGACAGTGAGGGCAAATCATCTGATTAGTCCCACTACAAATATATTGAAATAATACGTATATTTATATTTTGTAGAAACGAGGAGAAAATCTCAAAAAATCAAGTAAAATGAATGTACCATCTCCTCCATTAACCTATACAAACAATATTTTTTTCTGTGACGGGAAAAAAGTTTGGCATTTCATCTCTGTTGGCAGGTTATAAAATGTCACTTTTCATAAATTACTTTTTTCCCGTGGGAAAAAAGTGAGTACTTCTTTCCCGGATATATATCACATCCCCCTCTTTACCGAATTTTACCAATATTCCCTTGGTGACAGTCCTTTCATTTTTCGTTTGTCCACCGCAGGAGATGATTTTTATTTCTACAGCTTTAGTAAAATGTGGTTCAGTATTCAACTCTTAATTAATAGAATGAAAACAGTGTTAAGCAGATAAAAACAACTTTATTTGATTCTCAAAAGCAAATACAAAGCTATATATTTATAAAATTATGCAACAGTTCAAATACTATAATTTTCACTTCTTCACGTAAATAAAATCTCTTGACAACACAACCCTATTAAAATTTCGATGAGAATGAATATTGTGGCCGACTGATGAATATCAATGATTTAATGTAGATATATGGGGGTACATATGAGTAGGTACTCAACTCTTATATTGGTCTTCTTAATATTACTAAAATTTACAGAAGATATACACTTATAACAGGATTAGTACGGCTTACTCACATTTTTCAACGTGGCAAACATTTCATGTTGCTACATAACTCAAATCAACATTCAGTCTAATTAATGAAGTTTTCAAGGTTTTTGCAAAAACGGACCTTCTCAACATTTTCATCCATCGCATACTTTGTACACAACATTCCAATTATAACAATTTTCAGAACAAAACAAATATTTTCCCCATATTTCATTTCTGTAAACTGATGTTTGAGGAAAATTGTAGTTTTCATAGAGACCTTTGAGAAATTATGTCATTGAGAATTGGCGATAGACTGAAACGATGCGGCGATATTGAAAAGAAAATGTTCCAATTTTATAAATAAAAAACTTCTCTTTTAGGTTCTCTAAGTGAAATTTTAAAGGCAGTCACATTTTGGGGCAATTTATCTGATTTGTCTTTACTACAAATATATTAGAAAAGTACTGTCCTTACAACATAAACAAGATTTGTATGGTGTAAACCTGCCTGATATTCTAGATTTCATGAAAAAGTAGTTCACTTACACATTTGCGCGTTACTGACAAAAATAGTTAGGATTTTGTCATTACATGTCAGAGTCGAATAAGAAGATTGATCAAGAATGAAAAGCCTGACGCACAAAACTGTACCTACTAGCATTTATATTCCTCGAAAAGTTTAGAGAAGATTACACATTCTTTGAAAAAATACGTCATGCATCATTTTGGAACATTTTATTTTCAATTGAATTATTCAGATCACAATACTTCAGCAAACTTATCTAGTAGGTGAGAAAATGTTTAAAAGGTCCATTTTGTAGTACTATCACATTGCACATAAATTACTGATAAGATCCGTGTTGGAAAGAAATATTTTTTTGTTCCCCACAAATTAGGGGATGAATGAAGTAATATAATCTGAAAGGATGCTTCTAAAACAGACACATTTCAAAGCAATATTTCTCAGCGATGAAGAAGTTTGAACTTTCTTGGTAGTCTCATTTGAAAGAGAATTTCTGAATTTTTTTTTGCACCAATAGGTTTCAATGTATGGGATTATTTGAAAAATTCATGGTTGAAAACATGTGTTACAAGAGAAGGCAATCATTTGCTTGTTCTCTTCAAGACATGACTGGCAATTCATAATTTGCGATATTTCTCAATACATGGAATTTCTTCTTGTCACACCTTGTTTCGAGTTTTTATCTTGAAAAAAATTTGAATCAGAAATGTGTTATTGATAGCACACCTTTGTACCAGGGAGTTACCCAATTCATCCAGAAAATGTTTAACCACATATACAATTATGAATAATAAGTTGATTCATTTTGAGACAAGATAATAAAAATCTAAATCCAATCCAAAAATTAATTTTCACACTGACCTACTTACACATCTAGTTTTGACAACTTGAAGTGTCAGTGATAACTAATTATATTCAATAAAACTAGTTGATAGTCTATTATTTTCTCTTGGTTTTTGTTGGATTTCCATAAAACTTCAACTAAGTACTCATTATTCATAAGTGAATGTGGTTAAAAATTTCCGAATGAGTTGAGCAAATAAATAAAATCTTCCGATGATCAATGGTTTCCATTTTAAAGATGAATCAGACTGGGTAGAACAAAAAAAATTTAGTATGCCTTTTGAAATTTAACATTCAGTAAGAAGGAACAAAAGTAATCAAGATTCGAAAAAACTTGAGATGATACAATATTATGTCCTCTTATTTCAAAGTTACATAGTATTCAAGTATTCCCAATCATGTTACATATTGTTGCAATAAACAATGAAACTATATTTTTATCATATTCAGGTATAATTCAGAAGTTGAATTTTTTTGTTCACCTTAGTCTATATCACCTGTTTGAAAAAAAATATATATAGGTTTGACAAATTGGCAAAATATTCTTCATTTGCGTGCTCATTTTACTATGTATAGCTCCATCATACACAAATACACTATTATATGTATAACCATTTCAATATTTTTTAAAAAACGTTGTGGAATAGTTATTTAAATATCTTATAACTTTTATATTTTGAGAAAAAAATATGTTATACATCAAATTTAAACAGAAATGAAACTAAATCAAATCATAAAATCTATTTTAATACAATCTATAAATTATATATTCAACATCTTCTGTAATACATTTCAAAATGTCGAAAAAGCATTGCATTGATAGAAATTATATTGTATTACAAAAAACGAACAACAAACATCTAAGACAGAATACAAAGATTAAAATAACAGCTTATATACAAGAATCGTATATTAATGATACAATATCATAAGAATCATGTTTTTTGAGGATGGAATAAAGAAACTGAATAATAAATTAATCTCTTTTGTGACTTACTCTAAGGGAGGACTGCCCCTTAAGAATTCCAAAGGAATACAATCTATTGCTCTTTCTTTTCCTCTGGTTTCTTGCCCATTGGAATTGCTGCCTTGATCCTGGAAAAAAGTACATCAAATGATTGCCATATTAGTTTTGTTTTCATACATTCAAATAGGTCAAAAAATTTGCTCCAAAATGGTTTTTGCGATTTTCTCGATTTTACAACCAGAATCAATCAACTCAAATAGAAGATAAGAAAATAATATTACACAAAAAACGTTTCATGACAATTTATTCTTAGATCAATGATGAATACCCCAAAAAAATATGTTAAAAAATATATATTTTGAATTTGTGTTGCATTTCAATATTCATATATACTTCCTATTATGTTGAAGAGGTGAATGTTAGAACACATTTATTTGATACAAATAAACTGCTCAACACACAAAACGTAAAATCGCATTTTTTCGATCAAATTTGAATCATCATAACTTTCGATTTCCTCAACCGATTTTCAATTATTTTTCAGTTTCTGAAAGCTCGTTTCATTGACTATCGAAACTATGGATATGACTATTTCATCTTTCCCGGATGAGATTCTACAGCATGAAAATTTCAAACGCCTCCCGTTTGAAAAAAAAATTTGTCTAATATTTTTTGGGGTCAAAAACATATTGCTTCATATGTTTTCTCGATACTGTGAAAACATGTTTGGAATTGTCACACGCGTTACTGAAATATGAATGTTTTATTAAGATAATGCATAATTTGATGCTCTAATTTCTATTGGCTTTGTGTTCCGTCAATCTGGTCCGAATAGTGGTCAAAAATCTTGAAATGATGCATGATCAAACTATTCTTATATACAGGGTGGTCCTCAAACAACAATTATGACATCAAGTAATAAAAAAAATCTTGTTTTGACGAGCAAGAAAATTTCGAAGCAGGAAACCGATTGAGAAGTTTTCTGGCGATCAAAGCGTGTAGGAGAGGTTGTCAACACCATGTCAAGTTGCTCCAGAATCTATGGCAAGATCAAACCACTGGAATTGTTAGAAAAACCGGATTTTCAGAGCGTCGTTTCCACTTTGTGATATATTTTTAGAAGATAATTCCAAGGAAAATGAGATTGAGAATTTAACATTGAAGTGAACATGAACATGGGTGGTCCAACTGCTTGTTAAGAATTTATGTGCTATTCAATTTTCATACTTTTCATGTTCACTTCAATGTTAAATTCAATTAAACGTGAAAGTGATAATTCAATATGAAAAATGCATGTTTATTCTGAGTCAGGACATTACATATCCATGTGAGTCACGTCTGCCATTCTTTTGAATTTCGACAAATATTCAATATAAGTCATTTGTGAAGACGTTCACCGCAAATGAAATCACATCCTGAAACTCGTTAATCTACTGCAATTGTGATGAATTCTGTCAGTTGCATGGTGTGTCTCGGCAGCAACTATTTTTATTTAGACGACATCTCCAGTCCATCTCATTTTCCTTGGAATTATCTTCTAAAAATCTATCACAAAGTGGAAACGACGCTCTGAGAATCCGGTTTTTCTAACAATTCCAGTGGTTTGATCTTGCCATAGATTCTGTAGCAACTTGACATGGTGATAACAACCTCACTTACACGCTTTGATCGCCAGAAAACTTCAATCGGTTTCCTGCTTCGAAATTTTCTTGCTCGGCAAAACAATTTTTTTTATTACTTGATGTCATGATTGTTGTTTGAGGACCACCCTGTATATAAGAATAGTTTGATCATGCATCATTTCAAGATTTTTGACCACCGTTCGAACCAGATTGACAGGAACACAAAGCCAATGGAAATTAGAGCATCAAATTATGCATTAACTTAATAAAACATTCATATTTCAGTAACGCCTGTGAAAATTCCAAAAATATTTTTACAGTATCGAGAAAACATATGAAGAAATATGTTTTTGACCCAAAAAAAAAAAAAATTCTTTCAAACGGGAGGCGTTTGAAATTTTTGGAAAAATGCACAGCTTTGATTATCATCCTGTAGAATCTCATCCGGAAAAGATAAAATAGTCATATCCATAGATTCGATAGTCGATGAAACGAGCTTTCAGAAACTGAAAAATAATTGAGAATCAGTTGAGGAAATCGAAAGTTATGATGACTCAAATTTGATCAAAAAATGCGATTTTACGTTTCATGTGTTGAGCAGTTCAGTTATTTTTTGTATCTAGAATGTGAAATGATACTATTGCGTTTAAGAATGGGGGTTATTTTGCCCCACTGATTCGATAATGCAAAAGCGTTTCGCATTCTTGCATTCGAGATGTGAACAATATATTTTTTCGAAAAAAAAAAAATGAATAAGTAGGTACATCTGTCATTGTTAGGACACATTTTCTCTTCCTAACATATGACAAACTTTTCAACATTCACCTTCCAGAAGTAGGAAGCTAACGAAAATGATGACAGTTTTTGAAAAAGGTCTTATTTTAATCCTAATATACATCCATGAAATATGAAATATCCACACCTAACTCTGAATCACGCTAAACGCTGGCTCGTTGAAAATCATGAATTGCTCAATAATTATTTATTTTCTTCTTTTTTACTGAACAATAGATGGAAAAATGACGAGGATTGAAAACTGAGGGTCAATCGGAGACTTTTCCATTATTTTCAGGAACAAGTCACTCAAAATAATTTCATTTCATTGATTTCACATTGCCTGCTTTACATAGAACATAAAAAGTGGAGAAGGCTAGATAAGAGTCAAGATTTAGAAAATATTTTTGTGTTAGTAACAATTTTTGGAATAATTTACTTACTTTGATGTGATTTCAGCAAGTTTAGTCCTCACAATATCCAAATTGGCGTCAATCTGAGTTTTGTTTGTTTCATAAACCTTTGGAAGAGTGAAAAGTGCTACCCAAGCTGGAATATTAAAAATTAAATCAATCAACAACCTCAGGTAATCATTATTTTTTCTGGTGAATGCATTAGATACATGAATCAGAGTTCAATTTTAAGATGAAAATTACTTCAATAAATGACCACATTTCGATTTATTTTGTAATGATTATACAGGGTGTCCTGATATTAGCCTGCCAAATTCCACCAGTGGCATATACGACCAGAAATAGGAAAAAAATTCCAATGAAAGGGGACTCCTGAAGATGATATTTCTTGAATATTTCCGAAACGCCATATGATGAAAAGATCCAATTCGATACAAGTACTACCTTGGCTCCCTTAGGAGACATTTATCGAATCATGTTCATTGAAACTTCTCTTCCTATTCTTGGTCTTAGAAGCTGCTGGTGAAGATAGGCATTCTAATTTTGGGACACCCTGTATAATATACAGAAAAATACAGACAAAAGTTGCCTATTCTAGAGAACACTGGAAAGATGTGTCCAAATCGGAAATATCATGAACCGTTTTCAAAATATACGGGCGAAACCGAAACGGCTGGTTTTCTTTTATATGCGCTGGCGCATCCAATTTGGAATATGAAAATGTGTTCAAGAAACTTTCTTATCTGTTTCAAATTTGCATCAATGTGCAGTGCTTTGATAAATTTAACCAACTTTGTATAGTTTACCGCATCCGCCTTCCAAGATGCCGATAATGGAATGACATAAAAAATACGGCCTGTAGAAATATGTAGATTAAAACTTTCCATTTATATACTCTCAAGATCCTTACTGTTACCTGTATTTATATTTTGGATAACTGTATTTTGATTAATGGAAATTGCCAATCATCAGACTCAGATACCAAAAATAAAGATGCAATGATTACACCAAAGTTCAGATAAACATTATTCTTTAGTATGCTTTAGTCGTAGATTTATACCGGGTGTCAACGAATCAATTAGACAAGCCATAACTCCTAGAATATTAGGTGTATTGAAATGAAATTCGGTATATGGTATGTGAAGGGAAAAGTTTTCACATATTTTTCACCTCCCCACTACCGGTTTCACCAGAAATGGATCCGGTTTTGAGTTTTTAAATGAAACACCCTGTATATTACAACATTTCTGAATTCCTGAGACAATTCTGGATCAGAATATAACATTTTCAGAAGTTTTTATGCCTACTTCATTTTTTTTGGCGCACTTTTAATATTGCATCAAGGTGGCCATGATCTAGTCATTTTTTTTCTCAATTCAGAATTTCTTTCCACGTCCTGTATGATGAATATCAATTCATCATACATTCAAAAACAAATGCCCAGATGACAGGAGTATGTCAGCAAATCATAATTCTCAGATGTCAGTTCGTTATAGTTTTAGTTATATTATAGGGAGATGAACATTGTGTATATCATGAAGAATGGCTGAAAGAATAACTGGACTTCACGTTACTGATGAGGATTTTATATCCGAAATGAGTTTCACTTGAGTGAAGTCATATAACCTGTTTGTGAGAGATATAATTCTCATATCACTGATATGAATGATTTTTTTCCAGTTCCAAGCTCTTCAAGATCAAAGTTTATACAAGTGTACTTCTCATATACATTTCAATACTGAACATATTGGTAAGTTATATTTTCATATCATAATACATCATATTATTTTATCCGATTTGAGAGATGATGTCAATTCACAATTTCAGAGGATTTTCATTTCTCATGCTCTCTTTTTGGATGTTTAACAGATATTATTCAATGTTCGACGGGGCAAATAGCCAGGAAAGTAGTTGTTTTTTGTTGAATATTCAGAATTATATTATATGCATATCTTTATAAGAGGGAGAATGCAAATTCTCTACTTCAGGAGATTTTGTTTTCAAATTCTTATCATGTATGTTCAATATATGTAATTCAATGTTCGTCGTGGCATATAGCCAGGAAAGTAGTTGTTTTCTGTTGAATAATCCGAGAAAGAATTGATATTTTCATCACATAGAGAATGTGAATTCTCAATGTATTTCTTTATAAATATCCATTTTTTTTATGTTCATAATTATATCTGAGAATATTCCTTTTCAATATCCAAAGTAATGTTATTTGAGGACCTCAGGTGATCTCAGAAGATTATAGTAACAAAGTTTTAGTGACTAGTATGGTAGATAGGAAGAAGACAAGTTGACAAATTACATTTCCCTGTCTAACTATTATTTTTCAAATGGCAACCATTTTTGACAAGCACTTTCCGAAAAACGATTTTTTGACGAATCTAACCCAGCAAACATGTATCGCGCGAGCCTTTAGACGCTCCAAAAACTGCCGACAGGCAACATCAGCAGGCCACATTATTCTTTCTATGAAAAAAAAAATGGTCTCCTGTTATGCTCTGGGGGGAGGGGTAATCACCCCCTCACTTACCGATGATAATCAACGTCATGCCATTGAACCAGGCCCCCAAGTACGTCAGCGTCCACAGCAGCACCCCGAACTTGATGGAATCGACCAGATCCTCCACCAGGAACAACCTGCGCAGCTCGACGACGGCGGCGTTGATGTGGGCCACAGCCACCTCGGTCACCTCTTTCACCTTCTCCTGCGGCAGCGACACGTCCAGCTCCAGGAGCTCCTTGAAGGGGTGACCGTCGCCTGTCTTCTGGATGGCCTAGCAAAATGAACGAGAATCATTAGTAGATTGATCGGTATTTTAATAATGTTGAATAAAACCCAACAATGATCAAATAATGTAAGTGAACATTTGGCGCAGTCGTTAGGATTCCTTCACTCTTCGGGTTTAACTTTATATGAAATCGATCAGATCACAACTGACCAACCCTAGGTTAGGTAACAAGTGAGTGGGTCATTCAGTCCTCCACTGCGAGCCGTAAGGGTCTATTCGCAACTTGAACACTTCTGAGCGGTTTGTTTTGATGATTTGACCAATAAGCACAATCAAAGAACAAATGTGAACCAATGAAAAAAAAGTAAACATGCCGCTCTGACAGCTTTCAAGAGCTCCGATAGGTAGCGTACGCTTATTTTCTATCGCGAATTGTGGCTCACACCAATCATAATTCACAGAGTCCCTGTCACTGTCAAATACATACAGGGACTCTAGTAAAAACCATCTTCATAATGAGGCCGATTTGTTTACTTGGTGAGTGATCATTCAGGTTCGAGGGCGAGAGTGAAACCCTGTCTGACGATTCGTTACCTTCCATACCAGAGTGGTCAGGAATCCAGACCCGAAACAATTTATTGAGTCTTCCAATCGCAGAGTCTCCTTGGGCAGTTCAATACCAGTCTAACGTTGCTCGGTTTGAGCTAAGTTCGTTCAGAGTCACTTGGCTATCCGAGAATATTTTTTTCCTCCAATCTCTCCATACACACATCATAAATTTCGGCCTGAAATACGTTTGCATAGAACCAAGACAGGTTAATATCTTTCTCCTAGGTCTGCGACCGTATACACCCACACCAGAGCTTGTGGGTGATTTTGAACCATCTATGAACCAACAGTTGGCTGCTCTTAGTTTCTCCTTCCGGAGGAATCAGTCATCTCTATTCGGGATTAGGACAGTGTAAGGCAGGTCATAGGTGAATGTTGGAGGCACTATGTTGGAGTTCAATCTCAGAACCCTAACTTTCTCATATTGGGTTGCTATCATTTCAACATTTCATAACAATTTCGCGTAGTTGATAGGATTATTTCACAGAAACGGGCAGCCTAATTAATCCTTTTTCTATGGAGGTCGAGAAACTATATCGAACTCTAAGAGCTCCTCGAAGGGATAACCGTCGCCTGTCTTCTGGAAGGCCTATCAAAAATGAACGAGAATTCTCAGTATTTATTTATCTATCGGTATTTTCTTGATGTTGACATCTCAGGTGTAATTTTATATGGAATCGGTAGCGTTGCCCATTCTTACATCATCGGTGTCTATCTATAGTGTGAATTATCTTTGATCCTATTTAATCTATGATCCTAGTTATTCAACAAAAAGCAACGGTGAACTTGAAGCTATATTTGAGATTGGAGTCAGTACAGCTCTCGTGTTACTATTTAGTTCACTGATATAAACATTTTGGAGCAGTCGGTAGGAGTTCTTTATATCTTCAATATCCTTCGGATCGAGGCCAGAAAGCTGCAGAATCCCTCAAGTTGTAGGGTAACGATTCCATATCATAATAATGTATTCCTATCTCTCTAAGCCCGATTTAGAAGACCAGCAATGGTAGTTGAAGGGTACGTATAGGTTATTTCAAAAAGAGAAGTCTTCTTCCTTGAAGGATACAAATATTACAAGGTACTGAGCGATATTGCAAGAGCTAAGGTTAAGGGAAGAAACACATTGAAGATTCGACAAAAATAATATGGGTTGCCAAGTATTTTCGTGTTTTACCTGCACAATGTTTTTGTAGATTCTGAAGCCGATGGTACCGAACAGACTGATGAGGGAAAGGTAGGCCACCACGCTGATGAGGGACAAATAGGTGAGGGCGAGAAGTACCAACAGGACTCCACCAAAGACTGGTGCCGATCTTTTCGGTTCGCGCCAGTACACTAAGCTCTCCACTGAAAAAAATTAAAGTCAAATTATATACAGGGTGTTTCCTAACTACGGTTCCTAACTGCAGGTGGTGACTTGTTAGGTCATTTGAGGAAGAAAAGTTCCTATTACCATATGTCCGGCATTGCTTCGTTTCTGAGATACAAGGCGTTGAAATTGAAGAAAAAAAAACGGCAATTATGAAATATCATGAATATCCTAGAACCGATTTGGTTGAAATTTGGTACTTTCATTTTAAATAATAAGGCGTTTATTTAGCCCTATTAAGATTGAATTTATTGGGGCCAGTGGCGTCTCAGTGCGCAGAACAGCCAACAATATTGTGAAAAAAAGTACGCCATTGTCTTTTTTAGTAGATTTTTATTCTGTTTAGATTGAACAACTCAAAATACAACTTTTTGGTCTCTTGCATTTTCTTCATATCTAGCTTCGTTTTCGAGAAAAAAAAATCAAAGCCACTGTATTGCAAATCATGAACACCTGCATTGGAGAAATGAGTTTTTCATTATTTCCGCCAAAAATTCAATTGACACTTGATATGCTGCAATTTCAAAAAATGTTACAAATAAGAGTACCAAATTTCCACATAATCGGTTCCAGGATATTTTATAATAACCGTGTTTTTTTCTTTAAGTTCAACGCCCTGTATCTCAGGAACGAAGCAACTCCGGACATGTTTATAGGAACTTTTCTTCCTAAAATGACCTAACAAATCACCCCCTGCAGTTAGGAACCGTAGTTAGGAAACACCCTGTATACAGGGTGATTCGATAGGTCTATTTTTTTTTCACGAAACGTTGTGTGTCGGTTCGTGGAGAAGCTATGACATGCAATGTTGTAGTTGTAGGTGCAATAGATATAATTGAGACTTGAGGTCATCCATATGAACTCGTATATTCAAGTCAATTTCGAGATTTACTGTATATTGGTCAAATATGGAAAGGTAGCATTTGAGAAGAAAATTTAGCATTTTAAATGATATCGAATTTCTCATGAAAACAATAGATGAACGAGGTTATATCTCCATCGATATCCCCAAACCAAAGATCGATACCTGATGAGTTTTTTTTTCGTGTAAAAGGGTGTTCGGTATATAAACTTTTGATGACATTGATCATGTGGATTAATAATACTAGTAGGTGAGTAACTGAGTATGTAATAAGATATCGAATAATTATAGGTAAATAATATAATATTGCCGAGTAAGTTGATCTCATTTAATTTATTCCGCTCCTCAATAATTCATGTTTGTTGTTTCATCGGTTTTTTCAAGGGTAAGTAGTAATTTTTCAACGATTTTTTCATAGGAACTAATATTCTGTGATTTAGGAATTTCCAGAGGAGATCTTATAATGTTTGCTATTTTTTCCCATAACACACATCTAGATGATTAATGATTTTAGGCACTTCATGATTCATAAGAGTATCAATAGTTGTAGTATATTGAATTTCAATTACTTCCAGAATTCTAAAATTTTCGAGAAACAATGATCACTTGAGAAATTGATCCTTGATGAATGGCACTGTTTTGTAAAACTATCATAATTCAAAGTCCAATCAGGATACTCGTTTCTATTATTACAATAATGAAGATTTATTTTAATTTTCCAAATGCTAAATTTCGTGTCCGTATGGCAGGATTCTTTTCTAAAAGAAATAAAAAGTTGCGTGAAGAATCAGAACATATGGTATCGAGACTATCGAGTAGGGTATTAGCATTTTATGTAGATGTGGACATTCACGTTCGATTAATGAGTTGAAATTAACTCTTTAGGTTTAGGATAGGTATACTCTTGCTAACATAAATTATACAGCTATGTGGTATTAGTCATAATTTCTTTTTATATCTCTGAAAATTTCAGTACCGAACCACTCATGATAGGTATTTTTGAGTAGGTGAACTGGATTTGTGAAGGAAAAGAAAAAAAAATCCGATCAATCCTTCAATTCAGTAATAGTAGGTATTCAATACTTTGAATGCTTTCTTTCATTTGAAAAACATATGTTTTTTGAGGTGTGAAGATATAAACATTTGAAAACTGGAATAGTTCTAGAAATAAGAATAAAAATAGATCTCACCAGGTCCTCGCTCAGGTAAAGGTTCGTCATCATTTTGATATTTGTTATTCTGATTCTGTCTACGACCCATTTTGATTTTTCACACACTTAGGCAAACAGAAAATTTAAAAGAAGTCTATAGATCTAGTCTACGTGTTACTATTCCACATTCAGTAGAAATCCACAAGAACAGAAACAGCTTTCAGCTTGCTACTACCACTGGCATATGTAAGCAAACACATTCTTACATATTATATTATTAACAATCTGAGTTGGCAACGATGTTGCCAGAGTTCAAGAAAAAAAATACGATAGTGAATCGGCATCGCCTGTGAGAAATTGATTTTACGCAGTGAATGTTGATTGAGGTATTGCGGTATTGAATGACAAATACAAAAACGCTGCAAGCTGTAGGTGAGTGCGATATGATTTTGAAAAATGCAAATTGTTCAGAAATCAATTTGTTGGTATGTAAGGTATACATCGTTGAACTCAGAACAAAAAATGAAATCAACAAAGCAAAAAATATCGTTTTTTCTGTGACGAGAATAAATGTCACTTTCCATAAATCACTTTTTTTCCACTAGAAAAAAGTGAGTACTTTTTTCCCGGATATATAATCACATATAACACGTATATATACGCTGCCGATATCACAGAATTAGACTGATGCATCGCAGGTGTCATTCCTGTTACAAAACTTCAAATTTCACGTCGATAGTTTTCTGATTTCAAAATAATGTAGTATCTTCTCGAAATTGATTCGTCCTCTCTCCTGTCAAAAAAATAGTGTATTATACACGGGAAAAATATTAGATTTTAGCTCACACAACCTGGAGCTGAAATCTACTTCTTTTTTTGCCTTGTATAATGAATAACTTTACCTTTTTCTCAGTGCCATGAAAAATTTCAATATGATTTTCTGTTTTTTTTTAATCTCTCGGAGCGCACGAAAGGAAATTCCTATATTGTTCGAGGAACATCTTGCGTACCTGTGAAGGATAGGGAAAGGAGGTATATGTATAAATACCAGGTTTTGGTGCATTTCAAACAATACATTTGTTATTTATTCCAAAGAATTGGTTGTCATGGAATCACTTGTTGAATATTCTCCTCCAGAATTGCATGATGATGATGAAACCTTCGACAATCAAACATTTTTCAATATCAACTCAGTATTCACTTTCAGTATTTGCAGTTGCTCTAAAAATGAAGGTATTTACCATAAACTACAGAAGATGAACATTAATCTTTGTATTTACAATCTTCTACAATCATGAAAGGCGTCAGTTATTTCAAAAAAAGTAGATCTAGCCATCTAGGTCATTTCGAATACAACCCTGTTTTTTTCACCTTAACTTACATTATGTATGTACAGTACAAGTGATGAGAGATATAAGTAAAAGGAAATCAAAATAAGTTGAATCGATACGAAGAAACAAGTCATTACCTAGTATTTGTTTACTAGGAAGCATTGGTGTTTTTTTTATCATCATGAAATATTTTTTTTTTCAATAAGCTTAGAAATTGTTTGCGAAACCTAGTAGGTATAGGTAGGTACCTTTTGTTCATCCATTTTCGAAAATTGTATTCACTGACATGAAACTTAGATGAAGCATAACCATTCTTAAAAAACAAATAATATCAACTTCTCCTATATAATTAATCTCGGTAGGTATGTCTCCGTGGCAAGATGATAGGGATTCCCACTAAGTGAAGCTTCAAACCCTTGAAACACTATAGGTAAATGATCGTTCCCTACCAAAATTAAGAATTTAGGGAACTTTTAGTAATTGAAAGGTTTTCGCTACGGTTTTCGCTCTGTATTGATAGCTGTTTCATCGCAGAGAATGAGAAACAGAGTCAATATAATTCAAAAATCGATAATAGAATAAATTGAATATATCGGAGAAATCCGACTTCCTCGTCAATCGGACAACACCGCTATCGAAACAACAGACGTGGACCTTTCCACGCCGTCGTGCCGTGCAGGCAGACAAGGCAGACAACAGACAAACACCTTCACGACCGCGTACCGTAATCTTCCTTCTCTTTTCATCATTCATAACGAATCGATACTGATTGCCGTGATCCAGTGAAATCTTTCTTTCACTTTCAATTTTTACTTCCAACGTGGAGATTTCAGCTATCAACGTTAAGAAGTTGGCCGAACATCGAATAAGAACAAGCACTTCAATAATTATATAAATACTCGTATAAATACTATAACTATAGGAAACCCGAAAAATAGAAACGACATTCTCGTTCTCGATATATTTTTTCGACTCATTCACTGGCAGAAACAAGAATTTGTTAATGTCCTTTGTTGATGGGTGATACAACCAAAACGTTGAGTCGTCCCAAATGTCAGCAAACCTAGGTGACTGATGATACCTGATGGGCCGAAACAACATTGTCTTGCTCTTGCTGGCAATTGGGACAACTCTATTCACCCTTATGTCTCACTTGTGAGTTCAAGTACTTCGAATTCGAAAGACGAGATGTACTTCAGTAAAGTTAAACATGAAAAGGGGGTCGTGCTTGCAGAAGGTCCGGTCGTTCTGAATTCCTTATAATTATGTTGTTAGGACCTAAACCAATATTAAAAAAACAGATTTGCAATTTCCAAACTGCTGTCCGAGCGGCGGTGTACCCAAAAAACAATGAAATTTTCGGACTTTTTTCAGTTTTCGCTCATTATCTTAGAAAAGAAAGGGTTTGGCCGGTATAGTCACCATTTATACTTTTAAATTAGACTAAATTTGCTATAATTTGAGGCCAAGATGAGCCCCAGACAGCTATTGGCTCCCAAGATACAGTTCTTTGAAAATAGGCAATTTTTTCGAAAAAATGAAATTTCTTCAAAATGGTCACATATTTTGTGTGTTATATTATATAATACGCTTTCCACGTGAAATATCATATGTAATGAAGTTGAAGATTCAAT